ATATCTCCCAGTGATACATTCTGGATAAATTTTGAAAGCCTGGGCTACAGATACACATTTATAAACTGTGAGTTGTGGCTTAGTGCGATGTATTCACTCAACTGTGCCTGAAAAAATGTGATACACAGTACTTTCCCCAAATCCACAGTAGAAGGACGGAGAGAATGAAAAAATAATCAAGTATTATTTTTGTGGCTGACAGCTTTAGCTTGTTTTACTTCCAGTTGCAATGCTCTTGGGATGAATGTAAAAATAAATCAAATTCTGTTTCTGCGTTTTTGCTGTAGACTGAGCAACGCCCAAGGTTACCAGGAATACTTAAAAGGCCAATAAGGAAATTGTCTGGAGGCTCTGCTTTTCTTTGCTGGGTGAAGATCGTGTATCCATTATTAAGTCAGCCTCCTCCAGGTTCTTGAGAAACGGGAGGAAGTTTTAAATTACTATAGAGTAGTTCCTCAGTGCTGCTCGTTAATTGGTTTCGGGAGGTGCAATGAGTTACCAAAAATGATGAGTACCAAACAGATTTTTCCCATAAGGAATAATGTAGTGAGTCACAAGGCAGCTAAACATCAACAAGTTCTAGCTTGTGCATTGAGAACCGAACAAACGCTGAGTACTGGGACTACATTTTCTGGTCAAAATGCGTTGTGTACCAAATTTGATGAGTTTCAATTCAGAATAGAGCTGGAAAGGGACCTTGGAGGTCTTCTAGTCCAACCCCCTGCTCAAGCAGGAGACCCTATGCCATTCCAGACAACTAGCTATCCAGTCTCTTCTTAAAACCCTCCAGTGATGAAGCATCCACAACTTCTGAAGGCAAGCCATTAATAGTTCTTGCTATTAGGAAGTTTCTCCTTAATTCCAGGTTGCTTCTCTCCTTGATTAGTTTCCATCCATTGTTTCTTGTCCTGCCCTCCGGTGCTTTGAAAAATAAGCTGCCCCCCTCTTCTTTGTGGCAGCCCCTCAAATGCTGGAATGCTGCTATCATTTCGTCCCTAGTCCTTCTTTTCTTCAAAGCAGTTGAGTACCACTGTAAATAACACAAAGCTGAAATATTTATTTACCTTGTGTCAAATCACCCTTTAGCTTAGTGTCTCTCAACCTTGGCAACTTTAAGAAATGCTGATTGGGATTGGGGTATTCTGGGAGGTGAAGTCCATGTCTTAAAGTTGCCAAGATTAAGAAACACTGCTTTAGCTCATCAGTTTATTTGGACTGATTTGGACGTTTGCAAAACTGGCTGTACCAGTCTGAAGACACGGGTGGCCATTCTTTCCTCCTTAATAGATATTTTTGCGGTGTAATATGGAGAAATTAGCAAAAAGGCAAGGGAATATGACAAAAGAAAGGCAAGATGGTTGATATGTATTATCATTGATATCCAAAATTTGAATTGCTAACAAAGAATTAAGGGAGTACTGGGATAGCTATTTCAAACCTTATTTGGTTTTCATCAGCCAGACATACCCTTCTGAGATTCGAACCTGGGCTGTCTGCATGTTAAGCAGAGGTGTTAGCCACTAGGCCACAGGCCCCTTTCTCACTTTGTTAGCTACAAGAGACAGGGGAAGAGAATGAATGCTTTTTTTTTCTTTTTTCTCTTAGAGCACCCTGTCGGCCCAAATATGGGAAAGAGAAGTCTTTTGCCTGTATCAGCTCAACCTAGAGCCATCCACAGGCAGCAGTTGCTTAACTGCGACATCATATGTTTTCCAAAATTTGAATTGCTAACAAAGAATTAAGGGAGTACTGGGATAGCTATTTCAAACCTTATTTGGTTTTCATCAGCCGGACATACCCTTCTGAGATTCGAACCTGGGCTGTCTGCATGTTAAGCAGAGGTGTTAGCCACTAGGCCACAGGCTCTTTCTCACTTTGTTAGCTACAAGAGACAGGGGAAGAGAATGAATGCTTTTTTTTTTCTTTTAGAGCACCCTGTCGGCCCAAATATGGGAAAGAGATATGTATTATATTGACATTGATATGTATTATATTGACATTGATATGTATTATATCCAGGATATATTTCTTTAGGTAATAGCAATAGCACGTAGACTTATATTCCGCTTCATAGTGCTTTACAAGCCTCTAAGTGGTTTACTGAGTCAGCCTCTTACCCCCAACAATCTGGGTCCTCATTTTACCGACCTCGGAAGGATGGAAGGCTGAGTCAACCTTGAGCCGGTCAGGATCGAACTGCCAAACTGCTGGCAGTCTCCAGGCAGCAGATTTAGCCTGCAATACTGCGTTCTAACCACTGCTCCACCACAGCTCTTAATCAGCTAATAGTGTTGTAAAAAGATTATAATATACATTCAGTAGGGAGAGCTCTGTGGTTTGAAAGATTTTGCAAATTTTGGACTAGTGTGTTGTATAAACCCAGAAAATTGGATCATTTCCATGTTTATAAATCAGGGCAATGTACGCCTCTTCCCGTGCTGATGAAGCCTTTGCGTTTTCAATTTCATTCATTAAGTTTGTCAATGACTCTACCAGATCCTCAAGTTCTTTCTAATACTGAGATAGTAGCACAATTGGACCGTGTGTTTTTCCTGAGCTAATTTGTTCTGTCACCTTTTTCACTTCTTGAAGAGTTATGAGAATACATAATAGTTTGCCTATGTTGGTCATTCAATTCTCTGATGACCAATTTTGTTTTGATACATTTGGTACCTACGTTGATACATCCCCTGAATGAGACAGGAGATTGGAGGTGTTTGTGAAGAAAGGATCTTGTAGTGAAGTTCAGAGACATAACAGAAGAAACTTCCTACTAATTCACATAAAGGTTCATAGAAAATGGGCAGAGCTTTAAGTTGCACAATTGTAGTTGTCATCTTGGCTGTTTATTTTAACCATATCTTGCAGAAATCCCTGTGGAAGAAAGGCAGGAGATTTTGCAAATTTTGTCCTACTGTGTTGTTACAAGTCCAGAAAATTGGATGATGATGATGATGATGATGATGATGATGATGATGAT